ATTCAGATAGTAGAGGATCCTACGGGATCTTGTGACGTCTGTCATTGGTTTAGGGACGATAAAGGCTGAAATGCGCTGGGGGAGATCTGTGAAGTCCAGCGGTCTGGTGCTGCAAGGGTAAGGCAACGCATGTCTTGAGTTCAGGGACAGCACCAACGGGCAGCATGGCTGGGCAGTTGCCCAGGGCCCCCCTTCAAATCTGTCCCAAAGTGGAGGATGCGGAGACCCACAGGCAGGCCCTGACCGGGGCTGCATCTCCTTCCAAGCCCTCCTGCTCTCCCAAGTTCAGCCAAGATGCTCCAAAGCGAACTCCCACGGTCACAAAACTGCTTTCCCCAGCAGACGGTTGCCGGCAGGTTCCTTTGCGACAGAGAAACCGGCAAAAACAACGGAAGGTTTGGTGGTTAGTTTGTGAGTTCCCCCAGCCGTGCCTCCAGGAGAGTCCAGAGGAGCTGTGCAGTCTGAGCGGTTTTCTTCTCCACCGGGTCTTTTCTGAAGCTTAATCCCATCTTCAGCAAAGAGCTAGAAATTCGGAATGACTTGGAGGACCTTGGAGAAGAGGTTGGGGCCAAGGTGGGGAAGGGACGGGCTCAGTGACGACCCAGCCTGACTCCCCTTCCCCTCTGCTATGGAGTGATGCTTGCTTTCCTGCATTTGGGGGAAAGCCCACTTTGAAACCAATGCATGTTTTCATATTCTACTCTCTGGGATTCAAGGGCGCAGTTGGGATTGCTCTTTTAAAAAGGCAGATATTTCTCTTTAATGAACATTGCAAACCACAGTGAGTGTCAACCAACTAGGCCAAGCCGACGTGTGCTTGGTGATGGTTCTCTTTTTTAAATACCCCAACAGCTGAGCTTTTGTGCTCACATTCTTCCAACCTCATCTCATCTCATGTTGGCTTAAACAAAACACTGCCGTGATTACACGTCTCCCGTTCCATCGCTAGAAGTGCATTAGAATGCAGGATGGTCAGACCACATAAACCCCGAGACATTTCTCCTTTCTGTGCACCGGTGTGACTTTGTGTGTTGAAACAGCCCATCACTGATGGGTTTGTGTGTTTTATAACGCCTACAGCAACTATCCCCAGGTCTTTTTTGCACATGGGGGGAAGAAGCCGCGCCCCCGACCCACACACACACAGGTAGGGGGCCGAGCGGCCGGCCCGCCAGCCCGCCTGCGTCCCCCCCACTCCGACTTTCTCCAGTGTGCCGCTGCCTCTCATTGTGTGCGAGCAGCGCAGTTGGTCTCGGATCTTTGCACAGACACGGGACCCCCCCGACCTTCCCCCCTCGGTCCCTTGGGCTGGGAGGCAGGGCGGACCGGCAGACCCTCCTGGCACATGGGGCTTCCCTGCTCCCCCAGGAAAGCGAGGGAGTGTCTCTGAAAAGGACAGCCACGCGCCACTCCGACCCCCGACCTCTATCTCCATAAAGCGGCAAGGTCTCCTGGCAATGGCAGACAATGGGCCCCTTGCACACGCTCGCACCCCCCCGCACCCCCCCACACACCCTCTGTGCGGTCTGCGATTAACTCCTGAGAGCCCGAATCTTAAGCATGGGAGCACAGCCATTGTCTGGCCACGGATGCAGAATTGTCGGGAATTTGTGTCGCGTTAAGGAAGACCTGAGTCTGGGCCCTGTGGGGACACTCAGGGCTGGAGCAGCTCCTGTGGTGGATGTGGCCAGGTACAGAACCGCAGCTGCATCATAAAAACCTTTTGGACCCGTGGCACGAAGAGCCATCCCCCTGAAAAGCTGGCCGCCTCTGCCTTTCTGGAGGGTCAGTCCCTATTGCAAGATTCTCCACCATGCTGAACTTCAACCTTAGGAGCTTCAACCTTAGGAGCTTCTTGCAATGTTTCCGGCACCGTGTCCCCCCCGCCCTTTTGCCTTCAGTCCTCTCCATCACTGGAATTTGCGCCCCCAAGACGTGCCAGGTTTGCCTTCTGCATCAGATTTACCTTCTGGTCGTCTAAGCCTAGGCCAGTGCTCAATCCTGTAGGGAATTCACCCCTTACGGAGTTGTTTTGACTGCCTTTCAGCAATTAATTTGCAACTAAGATTGCCTCGCACCAAAAGCTCAGCCGAGGGGCGGCAATCGCACTGCCAGTGGCAACTTTTGGACCTTGAGAAAAACAACTTCCACTTATTTCTAGAATCCACACTCATCTTTCCTATCTTCATTTTTCATTCCTTTGGCAGTAGCTCACCAGAACCAAAATAGCCTCAAACAAATAAAACCGACCTGTGATTTGGGAGGAGTTTTCCCTTCCTAAAACTAAAGGGGAGATTGAAAAATAGCGACACACAGAGTTATCTCGGTTTCTCATTTTTCTAATCTCAGGTTTAATTTGTCCTGAATGTTGAGATTTGTTGAAGTTTGTTCAAACATTTGAACATGATGTCGCACACATCTTTCCAAACGCACATGATTTTCAAACCATGTGAGCCTCTATGTCCATATTTTCCCTGTTACGTTGTCTGAACAGAGTGCTTTTGGGAACAGTGATTTCATTAATGTGACCACATCATTCAATTTCTATATCTCAATTTTTAGGCATGTACTTTCTCTTTGGAGACCTGCACTGCAAAACTCGGAGATGAGCCCGTTGTGAAGGTTAGCCAAGCTTTGCCTTGCATATTAGTTCAACATTTCAAGGCTAAAATTGAATAGAACCTGAATGTTTATTCTGAACTTACTGCCCAGGTATCGTTATAATGTTTTCAGAACCTCAGCAGGTGTTTCTTACCGGGTTCCTTGAATTTTAAGAGACTATAAGCAACCCAAAGACGTGTGCTTCATTCTGGGAATGATCAACATTAACTGCCGTTTGATGCCAGCTCTGGATTTTGAAGTGTCTTTGGTCGCTTCCCCAGAGATTGTACTTAGGAAATTTGCTGTGATGGTTTATCTTTTCCAGGCTCATTTGCATAAGGTGTCCGTCAATTGTGGTTTATTAAGCACACCGCCCCAGTATGTCACAGCAGAGAAGTGGACAAGTCCCTGCCCCAAGGAGCATACAATTTGAAGTTCACAAGAGGGGAAGTGGCGGAAGAACGGGGAGGGAACTGGGGGCATGGGACAACAGGGAAGCGATATGGGGTTGCTTCATCTGGGTGATGGTTGGGGAACCTGGAGGATGAACCCAAGAGTTCACAGGAGAGGTGCGTCTTAAGGGGAAGGATTGAAGGAAGTGATTGAGGGGGCATCTCATAGCTATTCCGGGGGGCCATGTCAGGCACAGGGGGGTGCATGCAAGGAAGGCCACTTGTGAGGCTGAAAAGGTCACAGATATTGGGAAGAGGGGCTACGCAGGGGCTTGCACACCAGGTGGCTTGCACGACAGCTGCCAGACCCGGGCTGCTCGGGGGTTCTGCGTGAGCAACTATCACTATTTGCAGGACTGGTCCCAAGCCTGCGGGAGCACCTGGCCGCGCGATGAGTACCCAGCGGGAGCCCCGGAAGAGCTACGTAAGGGCGGCTCTCGGCTCCAGGCCTGGCTTTGGTGAAACCGGTCTCTGCCTGCCCCCCGCCGTGTTTCATGCTCCTCTGTCCCGCCGGCAGGTTCAAGGCCCTGCACATGGCCAGGACTCCCTGGGTCTTGCCCCGATGCTTCTGGTTCCTGCGCTTGGCCGGCTCCGTTGCTACGACTTGACTCGCTACGGAACCTGCAACTGGACGTGGACTGTCTGGCCTCGGGTCCCGGCGCCTCGGTCTGCTCCCCCGCCGTCCCCAGCGCAGCAGTGCTGGCATCCGAGGTAGGCGCCCCACCAGGGTGATGTTTCTTTGTATTTCTTGGTTTGAAATATTTGGGCACTGCCCCGCAGTCAAGCGCTCCGGGGGGCAAGAGCCACCCCCTCATTTGCCCCGTGCTGTGGCCCAAGCAGTGGTGGGGCAGAGGTGCTGCGGCCACTGGCCAGGACAGGGAGAAGGGGAAGTGGGGGCCCCTGGGGGGAGGCTTGCTCGCCCCCCACAAGCTGGCCTGGCACTGCCCGTTGGGCTCATCTCCTGGATCCACGTGTCCTCGGAGGCCATGGGCAGGTGCTGCCGACTCCGGGCCTGGCTGGACGGCACCAGAACGAAGCCGAGTGTGCAGGGAGAGCGGGGCTGGTGGAGAACCTGGCCCATGCTCCCCAGCCAGCGCAGTCGGGCACGCTGGAAGCCCTGCAGGACCCGCGTTCCGCGCGGCCGCGGCGAGGAGGCTCTGCCGTGGCTGCTTCTGCACCAGGCCCGGCGGGGAGCTCAGCCCTCGGGCTGGGACGCCCGCGCCCGAGTTGTGGCCCCGGCAGCCCGGCGGGCGCCGGCTTGGGGAAGGCGGCTAGCCGGGGCACGCCGGGAGTTGTAGTCCGGCACATCTGGAGGGGGGCGGCTGGCACGGGCGCAGAGCGGGGGCGCGGAGGAAGGACCGACCGGCGCGCGGCTCCGGCTCGTCCGCCCCGTCTCCGGCCCTTCCTCCTCCTCCTCCTCCTCCCCCCTGTCCGCGATCGGTCCCGGCCGCGCCCCGTTGGCCCGGCTGCCCGCGCCCGCGCCCCTCTCCCGGCCCGGGCCGCCCCCGCTCGCTCCCTTCCGCCGCCGCCGCCGCCGCGCGTCCCTTGGAGGCGCTCCCGGATTCCTGCCGGCGGGCGGAGATTGGCTGCGCGCTCGGCGGGCGGGCGGGCGGCGGCTCCAGCCTGGCAGGGGCGCGCGTCCCGCGCTCGCTCCTCCCTCGCCGCCTTGCGCGCAACCCTCCCGCGGTGCGCCCCGTCGGGGCGGAGAGGCGCGCGGCGCGGCGGCTGCTCGGGCCTCGCGCGCGGGATGCCAAGATGCCCCCGGGGGCACCGGCCGGGCCGCGGCGGCGGCTGCTGCTGCTGCTGCTACTGCTGCTGCTGGCGGCGCTGGGCTGGCCCGGTTCCTCCTCCCCGGCGGCCTCGTCCGCCGCCGCCGCCGCTGCTGCCGCCGCCGCCTCCTCCTCCTCCGCCGCCGCTGCGGCGGGCCCGTCGGAGCGCACGGCGCTGGCGCGGGAGCGCTTCAAGGTGGTCTTCGCGCCCCTCATTTGCAAGCGGACGTGCCAGAAGGGGCAGTGCCGCGACAGCTGCAAGCCCGGCAGCAACATGACGCTCATCGGCGAGAACGGGCACTCCATGGACACGCTCACGGGCTCCGGCTTCCGCGTGGGTGAGCAGGCGCGGCGGCGGGGCGGGGGGCGCCTCTGGGGTGGCCGCTCTTCGGCCCCTCTCCAAGCCGGGCGGTTGCAGAGTGGCTAGCCGCGAGAGGGTTAAAGCAGCCAGCTGCGCTTTGGATGCGGGAGGGCCGGGAAGCCGTGCCTGGCCGCCGGGAGGCCCCTCCGCAGCGCGGTCGGGTCGGTCTCCGGCAGGTGCGGGAAGCAGCCCGGCCCGCCTCCCTGCCCGCGTGCCCTCCGGAGGCGGGAGTTCCTCCGCAGTGGGGCCACCAGGCCGGAGGCTCTGCGCGGGGCCACGAGGAGCAGGTCCTGCGCCGAGCTCGGTGCCTGGGCAAGTTGGCAGCAGGGAGGGGCCCGGGGGAGCTGCCTTGAGCCGCGGGGGCTCCGACGTGGATCTGGGGGTCCCCCCTGGCCAGCCGCTCCTCCTGTGCTCGGATCCGGCCTTCCGTAACGTGACATGCTGTGGTGTGACTCTGGCTCTCCCCGCGGGGTGAACAGAGCCAGAGACAGGGAGTGATGGGAGCCGTGTCCAGGAGGCATGGAGGTTGTAGTCCTGGAGGACAACAGATCAGAGGAGGCGTGCTGTAATTTTGGCGGGATGGGCGGTGTTCCGGCTTTGCGAAGGGGCAGTGGAACTTAACTTGGCTTGCAGGTGATTTTGGGGGTCGCCTCTGCTCAGTGCTGCTTATGGTGCTGGGAGTTGCCACCCAACCCATCCAGAAGGCCCCAAGGTGGGGGCTGGCGCAGGCTGGCACCTCAGTTTCCCCAGATGCTGCCTGGCTTCCATCAGAAGTTTGCATGCCCTGAGGTCTTGACCCTAACCTTAAACCTTTGTGTATGGGGGGCATCCGAGTGTGAGAACCTGAGTCTTGAGCGCTGAATTGGTCAAAGTGAATCCTCATCTGCAGGAACTCGGGGGAGAGTGAATCATGCTTCAGTTTCAGAGGGAGGACTGTACCACTTGTGTGTTTGCTTGGGGAAGTGGAAGCCTTGGGCCTTTCCCTCTCAAGGACACAATTTTGGATGCTGTTTTCACATAACACGTGCATTTGTGGGTGCAGACTCATGGCCAGTGTTCCTCTCCCCCTCCGCTCTCTTTCTCTCCCCCCCACCTCTCCCCCACTCCCCTTCTCTCCATTCGCTCCCAGCCCCTTTCCGTTCTTCCCTCAACTGCTTTTGGCTGCTGGAAAACCTTACCTCATGCCCTGGTCCGTCTCTTGGGGGCCCGACGGCCTCCGGCTTGTGGCAGCTGAGCTCAGATCCGTCTGCCAAGCAAACACACACAGAGATCTGCGTGGCCTCACGGAGACAAACACGCAGAGGCTGCAAGGGCGTTTGCTGGGATAGACCGGAGCCAAGAGGGACCTGGAAAGTTGCTTTGTGGAAGCGGGAGATCACCGGAGCCCCCTCGCCTCTTCTAGGGCGGGGAGCGGCCTGCAATGACATTGAGCGCTGCGGTGCTCCTCTTTCCAGGTCTGAGTTGTGAGGTGCGGTGCCCTTCTTTTGGAGTTGAGCCGGGGGGCTCAGATGACCCCTTTTGCTGGGCCACGGAGGTAGGACTGTAAGCCGCCAAGCTACACAGAGTTCTGTCACTTTGTCCAGGACCGAAAAGGAGCAGGAAGGTGGGCCAGTGCGCGAGGGAGGCTGAAGCGGGAGACTTTCAGCCAGGAGAGGACTCGCAGCTCTGCGACAGGTCCCCAGCTCCGTTCCAATTCGTCCTCTGAAAAGAGAAGCGGCCTCTTGCGGTGTTTGTATTAAAGGCGGATCCCTCAGACCTAGTGGCCGCAGCAGCCGGCCCTCCTGGCATCCCCAGCTTGCCCTCGGGGCTTCCGGAGAGGCCACCTTCTCTTCCCCTGGTCGTCCTGCCCCAAACCAGCAATCATTTAGTGGTTTCTTTGCTTTGGGCAGGTTGAAAGCCTTTTCCTGAGGCGTAATCCCTGGCAGAAGGTCCTTCCCAGCTCCAGCATCTTCGGGTGTCTCTGGCCCCGCCCTGTTTGCCCGAGACTCCGCCCACCTCTGGGAGGTGGACCAGGGAGTTTCTCCAAAACTGAATTTGGCCGCCTGGCAGAATTGGTTCCACACCCCCCCCCCCCGTCATAAACAAGCAACTTGGCTCTCTTAAAGACTGTTAGACGAGGCGACCAGACAACACGCATTCAGTTTCTTTGCAATTGCCACCCATCGCCAAATAGAAAATAAGATTAAAAGGGGGGCTGTGGCACACGGGTTTCAGTCCTGGAAGACACTCCGTCTCTTTCAGCTTTCAAGGAAAACACCACTGGAAAATATTGAAATGTCCCTTTTGAATCCAGCAGCCGCAGTTGTGTCTGGAGAGGCTGGTGGTGTGGGGAGAGCCGCTCTGCTTTCCGTGGCCTTTCCAGCCATCCAGTGCCCCAGTTTGAATCGCCTGGTGGCTCAGGGTGAAAAGAGGGGGTGCCATGGAAACGCTTCCTTGGCTAGTCTGCGTACAGGAATGCGGGGTAGCGCTTAATGTCCTTCCAGCTAATGGAATCCAGAGGTGGAACCTTGGCTTGGAAACTCGTCCTGCCGGCCAAGAGCAGGAGAGAGGTGGAGGTGGAGCCTCTGGGAACGTGCAGAGAGCCAAGAGCCCGAATCCTTCCAGTCCCTTTTTGGATCCAGGCCAGAAAGGGGGATACAGGCTCCCCTTCCACACTCTCCCTCCAGCCCATGTTAGATTTGGTGTTTTCTTTCTGCGTCGCCTGCCTCTCCAGAGTTTTGTTTTCCTCACACAAAAGTTCAAGATACCCGCCGCTCCCAAACCCACAATGTTTGTTGAATCTGCAGCTGAGGAAGGAGGCTGGCGGCTGACATGCTGTGGCGGCATGAGGAAAAACCCTCGCCTCTCCCCGCTTGACGGCGTTCTGTCCTGGGTGCCCTCATCTCGCTCAATCCCAGCCGTCCCCAGCCCCTGAGAGGTCTAAATTCCGAGGTGGGACTGCCTTATCTCGGACCACCTCCTTCTAAGATAACCCTGTCTCGACATTTAAAAAAATGTTATGGAGCTTTTGAGATCTTAATGGAACATTGATGAAAGTGCTGGGTTCTATCCATGTGTGTCTCGGTAAGGCTGGGAAATATTTTTTATTTTTCATTTATTTATTTTGATTGATAGCCTGCCCTTTTCCCTCAAATATCTTACCTGAAACTCAGGTGAGACACTGCCACTCGGTTTAGAAACCCAGCGAAATGGGCCAGTCTGAAGCACTTTCCATTCTGGTTAATGCCAACCCTCTCTCGATCTTGGATGCAGCTTTTAGTTGCCGTAAACCCATCCCTGCTGCTTAGGATTCCAGTATCGCACAACATCTTTGTGGTGTTTGTCACACCAAGCGGGGGGGGGGGGGGGTTGGTTTGGACGGCAATACAGTCCCCCCATTTATTTAGGGACTTTCATGTCGTGTCAAACTAGGTGCGCACGTTGTATCAACCTTGTGTTGTAGGTTGCCTGAGATTAGACCTACGAATTCTGTCCCCAAATGTGATGCCACGTTTCAGCAGCTGCAAAATTAAGTGTTACAGCCCCGAAACGGCAGAGCTTGCCTAATACCGTATTTGCAGCCAGCAAAGGTTTGATGCTCCTGGTGAGCTGCTGAAATGGAGAGGGGAAAAAAAGATTTCAGGAAAACAAAGCACTGGAAAAATTGACTCCTTACATAACTGCCTATACATCAAAAGACTTGTAATGGCAATCTGAACCTATTCAGAAACATGAGGGTGAATCTACATTTTTCTTGTTATAATTCCCTACCCATCGCTTATCATAAATACTCTCTTTTATTTGTGAAGCTTTTGTGGTTTTAAGAACACAATTCTATCTGTGTTTAGACAGAAAAGAATTTTTTTGGGAGGAACCATGAGTTGTAGGACTTTCTCTGTCCAAAATGCACTTGGATAGTGCCATAAATGTTTGTTTGGCCCTTTGGTGGCATTTTGGGGAAATATGTTGAATATGGATGTTACTCATCTATCTTGGTTGTTTTTCTGGTTTGGCTCTTCTTTGGCGGTGCAGCCAGCTGATGTGTTTCCTTTCCCTGTTCAGCCGCAAAGCAGAGTTTGGGCGGGGAAGAGCCGGGATCGGGATCGCTTGGCTGTCTGGCCAGGCTTGGCCTTGTGTTTCTCAGGGGAATCTTGTCTTGTTTCCTCCTGTAGCCTTGCCGTGGAGAACAAAGAGATTGGAGGATCTGGGGCTTCTTGTGATCTTGGCCTCCTTCCCCACTCCTGGAGCTCTTGCTCCTGAGCACGTGCAGAGTGCTTTTCAAGGCGCATACTTCTGGGAGGGCAGAGTTGCCAGGCCTGGGGGGGGTGGGCTGGAGGCTCCCTTGATCACCAGCCCTGCTCTTTCTAGAAAACACTGACAAAACTTGAGGGGAAGCCCCTTCACTGTCCCCAAATGCCCCCCAGGTTCAGTACCTGGGAACGGCGTCTGTCAGAGCCTTGCAGAGTCTGCCAGTCCCGGAGATCAAGGGCACGGAACCTCTTTCAGTCCGGGGGCCACAATTCATTTTGCAGAAGTCCCCGGGGGCCGCATTCCTGGGCCAGAGGGTCATGCCCAGGGAACCCTCATACTGACCTTCAAGCCCCCCCCCATGCATGTTTAGACTGACACTCCCTCCCACCCACCACACAACTTCCCGCGTTCCCCGTGCGGCTCTCGGGTCCCTTGTGCGTGGCACTCCAAGCCTCTCTGGTTTGGTGATAGGCTCCGATTGTGGTGCCAGCCCCAGTGCGTCGCTGCAGCAGTGAGTCACGGGGGTTTGTTTTGGAGGCGGCCGTCTCATGTTTGCGGGGATTTATCGCTGAGAAAACAAGTCCCACAGACTCAATTCCCAGAGTGCTCCAAAGGGAACAGCAAAGGGGGGAATCTCCTCCCACTCCCCCCATATTTAGGGCCACATCCTGCCCATCGGAGCAGTATAATCCCCTCCTCTCTTCGCTTGAGAAAACTCCCACTCCGGAGTCCCCCTCACAAGCCCCCCTTGCTTTCCGGGAGATGCAGGTATGCACCTGCCGGCCTCTCCCGGATCGTGGCGCATCTGTCTTGGCTCGGCAGATGATTCAGCTTCTGAGTCATGTCTGAGTGCCTTCCCCCCAAGGCGCTGGGCACAGGGCTTGAGCGGGGCGTGTTTGCCCTCTTGCCTGGCCAAGGGCCACCCTGCGCTCTGATGTTCTTGGGGTCATTTTAATTGATTCCTTTAATTCCTGTGCTCCAGACAGTCCTGCGGAAACAGAGATGCTGTCAGGTTTTCTGTCCCCGGACATGATCTCTTGGGATGGGCTGCTCAGTGGACTAACTGAAGATGCCAGTGAGGGAAGAATGCAAAACCAAGCAGCATTTTTGCTTGTTCTGTTTCTGCCTTGCCTTTCTTCTGCAACAACCCCAAGGGGGGTTAGTTAATCCTCCATATTATCCTCACAACAACAACTCTGCGAGGTTGGATAGGCTGAGAGTCAGTGAGTAGGCAAACGTCACCCAGGGACCTTCGTAGCTGAACGGGGTGCAGAATTCTCATTTCACGTCTGAATCACACTGGCTTTCTGTGACTGCAGCTTAAAGCTCTTAGGAGAGACATTTTGGACTGTGCACATGGGAGAAAACACTGAAAATTCTCTACATGGTGCCTGGAAGGAAGGGCCACATCCGGCGGTCGTGGCCACCTGGCGAATCCGGAAAAGGCCAGATCTGACCCCCGGGTCGGTGAGGTTCCCCACACCTACCCAGATGGCTGGGATCTTTCTTGCTCCAGCCTGCAGAACACAAAAATATGCGAGGCGGGTTTCTGTCCTGGGCTAAGGCAGCAAAGGAATTTCTGCACATCCCTCCTGAGGGAACTCAGACAAAACAAAACCGAAAAGCACCAACCAGCTTTTCCTCGCCGGATCGGATCGCTCCTTGCATAGCTGGGCTCTGTGCCCTGTTTGTATTTGGGTTTCTTTGTTTGTGTTTTTTGTGAATGGAGGCATCTGAGCTAGAAGAGCTCGTGGGACTGTGGCTGATGGATGTGGCGGCTGCTGCGGGGGCATGTGTGTCCCGGGGGGCGCGGGGGGGGGGATTTGCCAGCCTCCTGGATGCTGACTCAGGGCTCCGGTTTTCAAAGCAGTGCCGTGTTGTGTTGGCCTAAATGAGACCTCTCTTCTCACACTTGGACAGAAAGTCGGTTTTTTTCTGAGCGGCTCTGTTTATCCAGAAGCTTTTCCTCCGCGTTCGGGCGTGTTTCTGAAATGAACGCCCCCACAGGCACTTGTGCAGCTGGAACAAAAGAAAATTCTTCGAAGTTGTGCGATTTTACAGCCTCTGCAAGCTTGTTGGTTCCACACTTGGTGGACCTAATGCTTGAAGTCTCCAGGTTGGAACATAAAAACATGCTAGGAAAATATTCCCTTCACCTAGAAAGTGATCTAATTCAACTTGATCCTTTCACTTGTTCCTAGTAAACAACAAAACTTTTTCTTAAGTAGGTCCTCTGTTTAATTTTATTTATTTATTTATTTTTGTCCTAATATTTGACCTGAATTATTTTGCGGGTTGGGAAATTCCAGCATGCTTAATGGGATTTGTTTGACTTTCTCTAGACATTTTTACTGGAATACTTGTAAAATGTAACCATAACAACATATATTTCCTTTATAGTGTTTCAACTTAAGGCGAAAATATACACAAAGTTGTTAAAAGTGTTGACAATGATACATTTTATGCTGGAAGGGCTGACTAACTCACAGAGTTAATTCCATCCTCTAAACTTGTTCTGGCAATTTCGATTTTTCTATCACTGCCTATTAATGTTATTCTGCACAGGGACATAAATGTATTTAGTATTAACAGATATTAATACATTTAATACTTAACACATGAATGTGTTAAGTATTACATGTATATCCTCTTTCCTTTTCTAAGCAACCAGATGGGTGTTATTAATCCTCCTTTCTGCCGTATCCTCACAACTCTGTGAGGCAAGTTAGCATAAGAGTTAGTGGGTGGCTCAAAGTAATCTGATCTGCTCCCAGGCCAATGAGGACTAGAACCTTGTCCAAAAGCTTCGTGTCTGTTCTATAGGTGTTTTCCCACTCCGTTGTTGGGGAGCACAACTTGAAAAATACAAAGGACAGCTTCCCATTGATGGTTCCTGATGAACTGAGGAAATGGAAAATGTTTCTGGCAAAAATAAAGTGCAGCTGAATTTTCCAGAAAGTGTTCCTCCCTGTATGACTGGCCTTATCCCAGAGCGAAGCCTTTCGGGGTCTTGGGCAAAGGAGGGCCTTTCCCCTCACCTGCTACCTGGTCCCGACTGGTGTCCCGTGCAGGCGAAGGGAAGTTCTGCTTGGCCGGGATCTGGCTTCCCCATTCGCTCCTCTTTTGGTGGAATGCCAGAAAGCTGGACTGTGAGTTAAGCATCGTCCCCAGAAACCCGGAGGGATAGGGCTTGAAGTCACGGGGAGCACTGAGCATGTGAGAAGAGCCTTACCGCCACTGCTGTGAAGGAGCACAGCCAGCTCACGCAGAGCCGAGACGTGCGTCCGGTGGGCAGGCGTGGATGGCGAGGCCTCGAGGCGTAACCGGCGCAGCCAGCGGGGAAGGAGCGGGGGCTGTAGGCCAGAACCACGGGTGGCAGCCTCCAGCTGCCCTTGGCGACAGAGCCGTGCTCGGGCACCGCCGAAGGGGGGATGTGGAGGCTGGGGGCAGGGCGCCCCCAGCCCCCCTGAAGTTAACGTGTCTCGGTCTCTCTCCCTCCATCTCTGCTGCCCCACCACTCCAGTGGTTTGCCCGCTGCCCTGCATGAACGGCGGGCAGTGCACGTCCGGGAACCACTGCCTGTGTCCGCCGGAGTTCACCGGGCGCTTCTGCCAGATGCCGGCCGGGCGCCACGGCCTCGCCCAGCAGGCGCGGGGCCCGGGCGAGGAGCTGCCCGTGGAGACGGGCTCCACCAAGCACGCCATCTACGCGGTCCAGCTCATCTCGGACGGCCACGGCGACGCGCCCTCCGGGCCCGGCTCCAAAGGCACCGTCAGCCACTCCACCTTCGTGGTGCCCCTCGGGCCGGGACAGCACTCCTCCGAAGGTACCGGGAGGGCTCCGCGGGGGGCCGGGCGGGCGCCGGGCCCCGGCGGCCCACCTGGATGCAGGGCCCCATCTCGCCTCTCCCGCCCCCCAGTTCAGGTGCACCAGCCGCTGGTCAACGTGCGGGTGCATCACCCGCCCGACGCCTCCGTGCAGGTGCACCGGATAGACAGCCTCAGCTCCGAGGGGGGCGGGCCGGGCAGCCAGCAGCACCTGATTCCGCACCCGGCCCCCAAGCCGGCCTTCACCAGGCCCCCCACCCAGAAGCCGCTGGGGCGCTGCTTCCAGGAGACGATGCCCAAGCAGTCGGTGAGTGAGCGAGCGGGCGAGCGGGCGGGCGGCCTCGGGGCGGACGTGGTCGCTGCGGTTGCGGGCGGGACCGGGGGAAGAAGGGGCAGCCAAAAAATCGAGGGATCAGACAAAAAGCCGGGCTTTTTTCTGATGCTGAAGAAAGCAGAGCCGGGCCGGTCAGGCCTGGGAAGGTGCGGTCCCCCGATCCTTGCCGACCGCAATTCTGGGCAGCCCCAGCTTGCATTGGCTGGTGGTCGGGGATGATGGGAACGGCAGTCCGACAGCAGGAAGCCGCTGGCTCCCTGCGGGGAAACATGCCTTTTTTCCTTTTGCCGTGCTGTCTTTCTGGAGTTAACATCCACATAGCCAAATGAGGATGATTTGAAAAACGTTGTGTGCTAGCAAAGAGATCATTAAATTCAGATAAGGGAAAAAAGCGGCTAGAAGCAACAATGCATCCAAGATTACAGTGGAATAGTCTAAACTTGATGCATAATAAACACAGAGCAAGGTCAACTTTAGCAGACCGAAACAGCTCTGCAGCTCCCGGCTGGCCGGAGAATTTTGGGAGCTGTACGACTTGTTCCCTGCTGGTCTGTGCAACGTGGGAGCCATGGGTAACGGTGTCCGTGCAGACCCCTTACATGGCACTGCCAGGATGCTGGCCTGCCCAGTTTTGGCTTAGTTTCTTAATCTACGTTGTGTTGTTCTTGCTTTTTGCTGATGCAGCCACGCTGCAAAGTCAGTCTTGCCTTCCGGGGCTCTCCTTATTTGGATTCCTTCTGCCCCATATTTCATTTCTTCGGTGCAATTCCGTGCAAGTTTAGGCAGAAACAAACTCTACGTGCAAGGAGTGGCTGGCCAGCTTTTTTTCTGAAATGCTCAGGTTGGAGTCTGTACTCCTTTTTATTCAGCCTCGTTGGTTTGCCTTCTGGGAAATGACTTGCTGTGTCTGGTGGCCGTTTGGAAAATGGGTCGGGACCACCTGCGGCAGTCATTTAGTGCCCACCGATCCAAAAAGGCTGGGTGCCCCTGTAGCCATGTGAATTAAATGGAGCCTCCACTTTCAGGACCAGTCTACCTGATTCATAGATGTTGGAGAGAGAGAAAGGGGCGGATATTGCCCTCTGTTTGGCTGGCAAGAGAGCAAGGGGCTAAATGCACCTTCAGTCCAACCCTGCATTGGCGATGGATGGATTTTTTAAAGTAGTACAGGAGAGCTAGCTGCATTTTTGGATAGATGGGGGTTGGACATGGGCAAATTGTAAGATGCCCAGCTCAGTTTTTTCACTCACTAAAAGTGGCAGTATGCATTTTAAATGATGGCGATCTGCACACTCCCATTCCATCAATGAGAACTAGCAACTTGAAATACAAAATTGAAACCAGCCTCTCTTTGGGGTGTTTTTTTTCCCCCCCATGCTTGGTGTGGAGATGTAAGGCAGATGTAAGGCTCAGCTGTAACAGGAAGAGAAATGGGTGGAGAGGGGAACGTGTGAAATACTGTCTGTTTTCTCTGTCTTTGCCGCTTCTCCCGGGGATGCAGTGTGGAAGCAACCCCCTTCCAGGCCTCACCAAGCAGGAAGACTGCTGCGGCAGCATCGGCACCTCCTGGGGGCAGAACAAGTGCCACAAATGCCCCCACCTACAGTGTAAGTCGCTCCTTTGCACCCCCAGAGGGGCCGTCCCAGCTGCTGCCTGGGAGAGGTGCTGGATTTCAAAGCCCATCATTCCCAGCCAGCACAGCTAAGGGCCAGCCATGCTGGGAATGGTTGTCCAAAAACCTGGAGGGCACCCGATTGGAGAAACATCCTACTCCAAGCTGAGAGCCCCCAGATGTGCTGGACTACACGGCCCATCTTCCTCAGCTTAGCAGGGCACTGGCTGGGGATGGTGGATGTAGTAGTCTGGCACAATCTGGGGGCATTTGGTTGCGACTGTAATGGGGAAGCTCTTTCGGCTCGGGGGCTGCATCCCAGTGGTGGGCGGGACCAAAGGGGAAGGGGCGGAGCCAAAGGGGAAGGGGCGGGGCCGAGATGCAAAACCTGCCTGCCTCTAGTTCAGCCTCGGAGAGGAATGTTTGTCTCGGAGAATCGGGAAAACCGCACAGAAGTGGGGGGATGCGGGTGGCTGGGAGAGAGGGGCCGGGGCCGGGTTCAAGGGAAAGGGGGCATGGTCACTTGGGGGGCGCTGGGGGCCTGGAGTGCCCCCCGCAGAAGGCTGTACTGGGCCCTCTGGTCTGGGATTATGCCCTTTCTAGAGAGGTTGCTCTGCCACTCCCATCACGCCCCACCAGCATGGGGTAGGGATCATGGGAGCTGTAGTCCAGCCTATCAGGAGGGTGCAGGAGCTCAGTTGGAAAAGCTCGGTGGAGCAGAGCTGGCCAAGGGCAGCCGGGGTGCAGCTTCAGCTCAAGAGCTTCCCCATTCCAGCATCTTCCAAGCCAGGAAAAAAGCTGCACCTGTTGAATTCCTGCCAGGCAGGAGTGTGGGGAGCAGCAACGGAGGGAACCCTGGCCAGGAAGGGGAGCCCGTTCGAGAAAGGACCATCTGCATCGGCCCGGCCGTGCCCGGCTTTGCAGAGCCGATGTGGGGCAGGGACCGACTCTCCCTCCCCGCTCCGCCTCCCCGCAGGCCCCGGCGTAATAGTTTTTCCACTCCGCAGGACCGCCGGGCGAGGGGCCAGGCCTGGAATGTTCTTGGCCTCCTTGCTTCCCCTCCCAGCCCCAGGCGGCTGGCCGGCCGGCCTTCGCCACCTCGCTGGCCTGCGGGGGGCTGCCTGGCTCGGCCGTCGCCCCCGGCCTCCCCCTGACCCCCGCCTTCTGCAGGCATGTGGTGCGTGATCCCCACAACAGCAGCGAGGGGGGAGGCGGGCGACAGTTTCCTCTCGTCATCGCTGGCCCTCCCGAACATGTTGCCGCCTCGTGCTGGAGCGGCCGAGCCCGGAAAACCGGCGTGGCGCCCCTCCAGCCGAATCCGCCCGCCTCAGGCCCCACGGCAACTTGAAGGGGGCCTTTGCAGCCCCCACAGGCCATTGTGACCCACAGAATCACATTTCCAGGGGGCTCTTCCCGTGTGTGTCTCAGGGGATCCTCCAGATGTGCGTGCATCTTGCTCTTGGCTTAGTGGAGCAAAATGCGCAATCCAAACCGTGCGCCCTTCTCCCATCTCGACCTGAAGATGCTGCTGAATCCGGGGACCTTCATCTGGGCAAAGGATTTATTCAAACAGCGAGCTGGGAGCTTGCCCCTAAAATAAATCATGATTCTGGCCCTCATGGTTCTGAAGCAAAGCTTGATTTTAGTAGAAACATAGGAAGCTTCTGCTTGCCAGGTCACAAGCCGTCATTTCTTCAGCAGCTCCAGTAAGTGAGCCAAGTTGCATGCTGGTGGGAAAGCACACAGCGAGCGCATTAGATCAGGTCATCTTGGGGGAGGGTGGCTGAAGATCGCCTTCTCCTCCTCCTAAAATGACATTCCTGTCCCACTCCATAAATAATATTTGATCTACTGCTCTCCAGCCCTAATTGTAATGGAAATTACATTGTACATCTGATGCAGAAGTCCTTCTCTGCATAGGTACACCCAGATTACCAGCATTTATTCCCAGTTTCTTTATAATTTATTCCCGAGTGTGACACGCTTTTTCTGGAGCTATTGGAAGATCCCTGAAATAGGGGCTAGTCCACAGAGTTCTTCATTCTGTGGATGTGGGAAGAAATCTGGGCTTCGCAGCAGTGTGGGAGATGGAACTAAGGGGCCCATAAAATACGCTGCTTTCCGTTTGGGGGACGGTCCCTGCTCTGCTTTTTAGTCTCGCCCATCAGGGCGGCTCTCTGGTCCCGCCGTGCGGAAATGGCGCCTGTGTGATGCCTCCCCTTACGGCCCTCCATCGTGTGGGGGCTTGTGGCCGGACGGAAGGCAGGTTGCAGGCGTGTGTGAAGTTCTCTGAAGCCTGCGTTTTCTTTTTTCAGACTTGGGGGTGCAGAAAACGCACGGGATCGACTGTCCACAGGGCTACAAGCGACTGAACAGCAGCCATTGCCAGGGTAACACAAAACCCCTCTGCGCCCTTCGGGTCCTGGGGCTGAGACATGCTGTGGAACGGACGGAGAGGCAGCGGTGTTTCGAAATCCGTTCCATGGATCGCCGGCTCTGATTCCTTGTCTCGTCTTGGGCGGAATCGGATTTCCTGCAAATCCATTTGGACTCGTTCACGAATTCCTGAAAATGCACAGATCTTCCCAGCCTACACAAGTATTTTTCATGCTTTAGCTTATGGGGAAAAGAGGCCTTTTGACCCAGTGTCTTCTTATTTTTGCACAACTAAATTGGCACCGTGGAAAGTTTAAAAACTTGTCTGCAGGTGTTCGCAATCTGCAGCTTGGGGAAAGCCGGGCTGTTGGGGCGTCTGCAAGCCAGATGCCTAGAAATGCCTCTGAGTCCGTTGCATAGTCCTCCGTCAGCTCAGGCGCTTGGATCCTCCCCCTTGAAGTCCTGCCCTGAGCAGGAGCATGGGCTCCCCTGTCCCTTCCGACTCGGCCATTCCGTGATTCTAGTGCCGAGTTCCCACACCGCAAAAGCGAGCGCTGCACCGAAGGGGCCCCGGCGACAGCTGCCCCTGCCCATGTCCCCCAGCCACGGGCGCATGTGGGCCACTGGGCACCAATCCGGGGCCTCTTCCCCCCACAGATATCAACGAGTGCACCATGCAGGGCGTGTGCCAGGGAGGCGAGTGCCTGAACACACAAGGAAGCTTCCGCTGCGCATGCAAACCGGGACACGTCTTGGGTCCGGGACGAAGCCACTGTGTGCGTAGGTATCGCGCTGAGCGGGAATCTCCTCCTCCTCCTCCTCCTCCTCCTCTTCCTCCTCTCTCTCGCTCTTCCCCTCGCTTCGGCCCTCGGCTTGCCAGTTCTCTGGGCAGGTCGAATATCTGCTGCTGGGGAGCTGGGATGGGGCTTGGCCAGTGTCCGGCGCTGCGGGCACCTTGGCAAGCCGAGGGGCCCTCGCCGGCACCCGCACAAAATGGCCGCAGCAGGAGGCAACATCCCGAAAGGCTGAGGACAGGCACAGCGGGGTCTGGTCCCCACCCCATCCTGCAGTTCCTCGGAATCCGGTTTTTAGCCCCAGCAGAAACCTCCTGGGTAGTTCTCCCAGGTGTCAGGAATAAGTTTCGCTTGCGTCAGAGCCGGTCACTTCAGCATCCATGCTGGCCCTCCCCAGTCTTGTGGTGCTGTTGAGCTCACTGCGCATGGGCAGAGGCCTTCTCACCTGCAACGGTGTTGTTGTTTCTACATCGTGAGCGATTAGATTTATCTGTCACCTCTCTCAGGAAGTGCTCGCGGCAGTGCCTGCGGTTCTCCCCCTTTCCCCACAGGCGCAGGGTGTTTCCACAACAGCCCTGTGAGGTAGGTTAGGCAAGAAGGTGTGCGTTTGAATAGCAAGTGAGAGCAGAAAGGGAAAAGGAGCAGCGACACCCCCAAAAATTCTTGGATCTTCTGGCTTGCAGCCCTTAAAGGCCGCTAAGCCTTAGAAAAGGGATTCTGGCCTTTTAGGATCGCGTGAGAAATGGCCCACCTGGGAAGGCACCCCAGGGTTGGCGCGTGGGAACGAAGGGGTGGCTCCCTGTGGGAACCCAGGGGCCGGTTTAGGAGCCCCGAGAGCCAAACTTGGCCTCCGATCCTGAGGTTTAGCCCCCTTGTTCTTGTGGGATTGGCAACCTGATTTCCCAGAATGGAGCTGCATTTTATCCTGTTCTGTATAACTGCCTCTTTTTCTTCCGGCCCTTTGGGTCCAGGAGCTCAGGGTGCTGTGTGAATTCACAACTGCTATTGTATCTGCACAGCGAAGCTGCAGGGTAGTTCAGGCCGAGAGAGAGAGAGGGAGAAAGAGAGCGAGCGAGCGAGCCATTCACTCGCCCCTCACATACATGGTGCTGCATTAAGCACAGCCCTGCTCTAACTGCTCTGCCTCTCTTCCCTTTTCTCCCCGGTGGGGGACAGCGGAGAAGGCTGGGGAGAAGAGCTTGTGTTTCCGGCTGGTGAGCCCCGAACACCAATGCCAGCACCCGCTGCCCACCAAACTCACCCGCCAGACCTGCTGTTGCAGCGTGGGGAAGGCCTGGGGGGCCCGTTGCGAGCGCTGCCCCGCCGACGGAACCGGTAAGCGGCGGATGGGCGTAGGACGCGGCCTCATCCCGGTGCCCTTTTGCGCCTTCGGTCCTGTGTCAGAGCGTGTCTTTCCCAGCCCTGTGCATGTGCTGAGCTGCGCTCTTTCCCCTAAAAATGAAGCAAGATGCTAGTCCTCATGATTCCTCAGAAAGGGCTAATTGGATTCGGAACCGAGGAAGTTGGCTCAGCTGTTGTGTGGGGCAAGTATTCTGTCCAGCTCACTGTTGCCTCTGCATTACCTAAATATCTGTCCGCGGACATGCGCTCCCCCTGCAGGTGTTTTCTGGCCGTTTGCGGCTGACTTGGGCCTTGCTTCTCTCTCTGGGAACGCTGGACCCACGTGCTGGCTCAGAGGGCGGCGCGAGCAGGAAGTGTTGTGTGCTTACCTTGTGCCTCTACCGCCCCGGCAGCTTCTTTCCGCGAGATCTGCCCTGCGGGAAAAGGGTATCACATCCTGACCTCCCACCAGACTCTGACTATCCAGGGAGAGAGCGAATTCACGCTGCAGATCCACCCGGACGGAACGACCGACTTCCAGCAGCAGCAGCAGCAGCAGCAGCAGCAGCAGCAGCAGCAGCAGCCGCCGCCGAAAGTGGAGTTACCCACCCGTCTGCCTCCGGGCAGCGATTCCCAGGAGACGTACAGTGAGTCCTGGGCAAACGGAAGGAAATTCCTGGGACTCCTGGGCAGCCTTCACCAGCCTGGGGTCCTCCTTGCTGGCAGGGGATGATGGGCATTGCAGTACAGCCAGCTCCAAAAGCTGAGCTACCTCAGTGTCCTCCTGACTTCTTTCTTCCTTGGAACATTTTTCAAAACTCCTCTCTGGGTGGATGTAATAATCGCATGGTAATGATAATACAGTGAGTGAAAGGCAAGGCAGAACCCGGGGAATATCCGCTGGTGCTTCGTAAGATATGAAATGCCAGTTGAATGTCTGGAAAGGGCGCAGAACCCCTGGCTTGCGGGATCAGCGATGGCCGGACGAGATTTCCTCTCCAGCCACCCCCCCCTTCTTCCAGTCCCCTTTTCTCCCTCTTTTGGTGGGTCTTGTGAGCGGCGGATCGGCCACCGTGTCCTCAAAATGCTGGACTGGGTAAACACACGGTCCTATCTGGCCGACCAAAACCGTTCTTATTTGCCGTGAACAATTGTGCTTGTCAAATGCTCTGACCTTCCCGTTTTGGTTTGTGTTTTGCAGCCGTCACGCCGCCTGTGGTAAGTACGGAAACGCTGCAGGATGCGGGGAAAGGAAATCTTTCACAGGATGAAGCGGAATGACTGGTTTTAAGCCCCCCGCCAAGGCGTTGCTTGTTCAGCTGTGAGCCCAGTGTGGGTAGGAACCGATCCATTTCGGCAACAAACTGCCCAGAAAGTTTTGGAGATCAATTTTTTGGGGAGGGAGAGAGTGAAAAAGGCAGATCTGCCTCTTGCCGTTGTGAGTTGTGGATGCGCTTAAATTTTCTCTAAGACAGGAATGGAGGGGGACGTAATACAATGGAAAAAACCCAGATTCAATGCCTCTAAGGCCAGAATGACAAAGATTCCTATCAGAGTATTATTACCGATGTTGCATTTATATCTTGCCTGTTTCCCCTCTTGCGAGGAACTCAAGGTGGCTCGGATACTCTCCGCCCATTCCCTTTTATCCTCACAACAGCCCTGTGAGGTAGGCTAGGTTTAGAGCTGCTGCCAGTCAGAGTAAGTAGTCCTGGAGTATTTGGACAAGGAGGCTTTTGCATCCTAGAAGACTGCGAGCCGGCAGTTTGCAACCCTGCCTGGCTTTAGCTTGGCTTTCTGTCATCTCTCCCACAATATTTTCAGCCCCCCAGCCACGTGACGAATTCAGAAGAGCAGCAGGTCCTCTTTGTCAACACGCCCACCTTCCGGCCCCGATACCCTGGTGAGTACGACGGGGCAGCGATGTGGGGGGCCCGAGGCCGGTGCGGCTTCATCTGGGGCATGGGACGCGCCCAAGATCTCCTGCTCTGCTTGTGGTGTGGATGCAGTAGCGAGCCCCTTTCATCAGCACCTGCCGTGCCCCTTGGAGTTCCCTTCCCAGTAGCGCTAGGAGAAAAACAAAGCTTTCCAGCAACCTCTTCTAGCCCCTGTTTCAAGGCCGCCTATTTTGCATGGCTTGGTCTGGAACGGGCAGCTTGAACTGGTCTGTTGCACAAAGGGCCGTTTCAAGAGTGGAGACTAAAATCCCAGGAACTGGCTTGTCGAAACGCCTGCAAGTTTTGGGACTCTCCTGGGGGGCGTCCCACAAGGGGGGGCGCTGAACTTCCAGATGTCCTGCTGCAGCACTGTCTGTTTCCGTGCTTCTTGTTTCGACCCACAGCGGTGGTCCCCAAGCCCACAACTGCAATCCTGGTTAAATATCCTCCGGAGGACAAGGGGGTCAACGAATTCTTTATATCTCCTACACAGGTAACAGGTAAGCTCACCTGGTCGCCATTCCGTCTCTGCTTCTCTCCCTTCTTTTCCTGAGGGCCCCAACCCTGCCCACTGTTTGGTGGACCCCAGATATGTCGGAAATTGGGGAGCGGGGGCGGTCAGTGAAGGTGGCCTGCTTTGGAAGCACTTCCCGGAAATGCAGGCGGCAGAAAATTATTGTGACAGACAGAGAGGACTCTTCTCTGAACCATGTTCAGCATTCCTGTCGAAGCGAACGCGTTTTCCTCCGGTGCCGAAGATGGAGCAGCGTTCTCCTTTCTTTCCTTTCTCCTTCCCACGCTGCTTTTCCCTCCGTCATCTTCTCTCGGTCCTTCGCATCAGAGCCCCGGGCTAGAGAAGGAAGCCCTCGCCGTCGTCCAGCGGGGTTTCATGTCTTGGTGTGTTTGCCTCCCTGAGTGTCCCCCCTTCCTTCCGTCCTTCCCGCAGTAGATACGGACACCTGCAGGGTAAACCGCAACTTTTGTGGGCACGGGGAGTGCATCCCAGCAACCACAGGGTTCACCTGCCACTGTAACCAAGGATACCGGAGGCACCCGCAGCTCGAATATTGTGTGGGTAAGGAGCGTCTTCTCTGGAGTTCTCTTCCTGCTGCCCTTGGTCCCGGCTCGCCCACATCGCCCACGTGAGATTTGGGCTCAGGGAGGCCCATCTAAATGTCCCACAGGCCCAGTCCTGGGTCCGCGAGACTGGCCAGGTGATCAGGGCACGATCCGGAACCCCAGCCCCAGACTTGGAGTTGCTCCGAGGCTGCGACTGCGGAGCGCTCGCTTCCCGCTTTTGCAGAGCTGCCCGTGCTGGTGGCGGCTCTGAAGTCGCGAGTGCCGCTTCGGAGCCGGCATGGAGGTTGTTCCAGGGGTGGGAAGAGGGGAAAGGAGGCCTCGCCGTCCCCCCAGAAACCCCGCAGTGCCTCAGCCGCTTCCCATGAAGAGGGATAAACATGCAGCTGCAATCGGCCCTGTGTGTGTTTCACTGGGCACGGAAACGCGGAGACAGGCCTCGCCTTTGCGCTTCTCCCGCTCACAGCAGAGATCCGAGGGCGTGCAAGAAACCCTGCCTGAAACAGCCAAACTCCTCAGTCCTCTTAGTTTGACGCGTCTTTGCCCTGCCTTTGCAGACTGTCTGGCCCTTCTAGGCCCTCTGAACATGCTCAGAGTTACAGTCACGCTCCGCCATCCCTGGGAGGTAGTCCATTCATACATAAAGCGGTGGGTGTCTTGGCAGGCCCTGCTATCCCAGAAGGCAAATGGTTGAGGCCCAAGGAAAAGCTACTTTCTCAAGCACCTCACCAGCAAAGCAAAAACCGCTTGTTCTGAGCCCAAAGCAGCGCAGCCCTGGAAATCGCGCCCTTTGCTTTTCGGCACGCCAGCTGCCCAGTTGAAAAAGACACTTCAACCTTAATTACCCTTTGAAATAATGCGCCAGTCAGGCGGGCCAGGGAGCAGAACCAGAACCGGGGAAGCCACGTGCCACGGGGAGAGTGTCCCGCTCCATGTGCGTGGCCCAGCAGGGCCCAGCACGGCGGGGCTCCCCGCCTCACCCGCCTCCCTTCTCCCCCTTTGCCCAGACGTGGACGAGTGCGATCTGGACCCCTGCGGCAGCGGGAAAGGCGTGTGCATGAACACCGGCGGCTCCTACAACTGCCACTGCCACCGCGGGTACCAGCTCAAAGTGCTCAAGGGAGTGCGCTCCTGCGTGGGTGAGACATGCCTGGGGCCCGGGGGGCGAGGCGGGCGCCGCGGGGGTCTCCGTCCGCGGTGCCACCCGGTATTTCTTCCTCCCTCTTCCCCTGCACCCCCAGATGTTGACGAGTGTGCCAAGCCCAACATCTGTGGGGACGGCGGATCTTGCATCAATTTCCCGGGACACTACAAGTGCGAGTGTCGTCCAGGCTACCGGCTCAAGACGCCTTCGCGGCAGCCCCTCTGTGAAGGTGACAAGGCTGGGGGTCTTGGGTAGCGGGAGAGGCGGTGCCGGCAGGCACGGAGGGAGCAGGACTTAAATTTGGGGCATGGGTCAGTCCTGGGGGACGGAAGCACGGCCCAGCACGGAGAGGAACGACAGCCTGAACCGGCAAAATGTCCCCGGCATCTTGTAGCAGGCGTGGGAAACACCCTTCTTTTCTGGAAATCCTGAAGGGCTGGGCATGGTGAAAACGATTTGCATTTGTATACCGCTTTACCTGCTAAAGAGCCACCGAAGTGGCGTACAACAGATGAGAGCGATGCAAACGCGGACGTTCAAAACCGCTGGGTGCGGAGTTAGCTACACTTCCGCACACATGCCTGGTCCCCGAAGGCTGCAGCTGGTTGCTGCCTCAAGTCTTTGAGCTGCTCAGGGACACGGGTGGCTCCTTCGTGTGAAGGGTGTCGCCTGCACAATTCTTGTGCAGAGCTCACAAGTCGCTCAAGTCAGCTGTGCGTAAGTCGACCTTGCTCCTGGCTGAAGGGCCATGTGAATGCTCCGTCTGAGGCAGATGACGGAAGAGAGAAGAGGGCAAGGGCTGTGCATCGGGGGGGGGGGGGACCTGCCGGCTTCTGCCCCCAAGCCGGGTTCCTCGCTCGTTCCAAATGCAGCCTCTTCCGGCCTTCCGCACACCAGCCAGCCCTGACTGGCCTCTTCTGGCCCTGTGTTTCCTTCCCACCCTCCCAGATATCGATGAATGCCTTGACCCCGGGACTTGCCCAGATGGGCGGTGTGAGAACAGACCCGGCAGCTACAAGTGCTCCCCCTGCCAGCCGGGCTTCCGGGGCCAAAGCGGCTTGTGTTACGGTAAGAGGCCACGCGCCGCGTCTGTGCTGAGCTGCCCCTCCCAGGGCTCGGACCACGATCCCTTTTCCAAAGCCGGAATTCCTCCCTTCATTGAAATAATAACAGAGAAAGGGTACCCCTGGGCATATGCTGAGTGCCTTTTCTCAGCTGGGGAGGGGGCAGAAGGAGCCGCTCATGGCAAGCCCTGTGGTGAGCTTTTGGACAAGGCATTTCTCGTGCACGTACCGTTCTCTGCTCGCGGTCTGGAGTCCCTTTGCACCCTCTTGCAACCCTCCCATTTCACCTCCGTGTCTAACCAGCATGTCTGGAGACTTTTTTTTACAGCTGGAATAAAATGTCATGTACGGGTAAAAGCAAAAGAAAACTGCAGGTCTCCAGGCGTTGTAGTCCTTCTGTCTGTCTAAACTTGCATAGTGTTGCGCTCTGTTTAAACAGAGCATTCCCATGTAGGGCTGCTTCAAAAAGGCCGCCTGTTGGGCATCTGCCAAATCTGCTCTTGAAGTTTTGCATAAAAAGCATAACTAAGTTTCTAGTCCTCATGGCCAGAAAGAGGGAAACATCGGCACACCTCTCTCCTTTGCCACTTTTCCTTTTGCTACAAGTAAAGAAAAAAAGCCTGTTTTGAAAACTTGGCTCGCAGAATCAAGTTTTGTTTTGCTTTGTTTTGTTTTGCAAAACTGAAGCGTTGGTGTATTGTAAACTTGCACAGATTAATGTCCGGCGTGCAAAACTTCCACAGCGGTTTTCTTGCTGACGTTTGGCCGACTAGTACCGACCACCCCGGTCGTGCGCCTTGTTCCTGGCCTTCAGGGGAGGGGATTGGGTGGTCCTGGGGGGGACAGTCTTGCCAGGCGACGGGATGGGATGGGTGCCGGGTGCTGGCCCGGAAAGCTCCCCCCCACGGACCCCTTCCTCCCACCGATGGGGGGGGCGGGGGATTCACCGGATTGCTCTCCCCGCAGATGTGGACGAGTGTGCCGAGGAGGTCGCCTGCAAGCACGGCTGGTGCGAGAACACGGCCGGCTCGTTCCGCTGCTCCTGCGGGGACGGCTTCACCCCCGCGTCCGATGCCCGCAGCTGCCTTGGTAATCTGCCCCCAAACACACACACGCGCGCACGTGCTGGCCAGCAGAGCTGTGCCACATGGGACACCGTGTGGCTCCGTGCCTAGCGCATCGGCCCAGGGCCCGGGCGGTCCGGGTTCTAGTCCCCACTCGGCCTTCTTCATCATCGTCACCGTCACCACTTTTTTATGCTGCCCATCAGCAAAGCTCCCCGGGGAGTTTATAGCAATAATCGTAGAATCATGGGGACTTTGGGCCAGTCACGGCCTTCCGCCTAGCCTACCTCACAGGGTTGTTGGGAGGATAAAGAAGGGCTGGAGAAGCTTTTAAGCCCCCTGGGCTCCTTGCACGAACCCAAAGAGAAGGATATGCATGTAATAGTCATGCAAAATAATACCTCTCCGTCCCCACACGGCTGCAGAGCTGCCTCGGATCAGTCACTGCTTTGTGGCCTTTGGGAGAGGGTGATAAAACAGAAATACAGCTTCTGTTGGGGGAAGGCCAAAAATCAGTGTACAAAGGAACAGAGGCCCACTTCTTCTATTAGCCAGATGGGACAAGAGACCAGTCGGTTTGCTTCTCTCCCGGCAGATGTAAATGAGTGTGAAGACGGACCCCTGTGTGCCCACGGGGTGTGTGTGAACACGCTGGGGTCCTTTAAGTGCCAGTGCCCCGCAGGCTTCCAGGCAGTGAAGGACGGCCCGCGCTGTGAAGGTGAGAGCTGGCGCCAGTTATCTGCTGGGCCCCCTAATCAGGCTTCGTCGGTGTTGGCACCAAACTTCTGTTGCCTGCTTTTTTCCTCCTCCCTCCCAATCGCTTTTCTTTTTGTGTCGTGTCTTTTAAACCGCAAGCCAGAGGAAGGCGGGGATGCTGGGCCGATGGATCTTCCGAGGCTGCTTTGGGAAATTTTTTAGGTTGAAGAGCGGGATAACAATGCTATCCATCCAGAGAAATAATAACAACCAGTTTTGAATTCCACTGTTTCTTGAGAAGGGGAGAAGTGATGGCGAAAGCGGCCCCCTTTCTGCCTGCGAATGGTTTGTCTGAGTTGCGCAGGCAGCAATTCTCTCGGGAAACAACCACCCGCCACCCAAACCCCTGGAGCTGAGCATAAGGGAAATGATATTGGGCCATGTTTTTGTGAGTGCAGGAGCAGTGTGTGTGTGTGTGTGTGTGTGTGTGTGTGTGTGTGTGTGTGTGTAATTCCCCCTCACAGGCAGGGCCTTGAGAAGGTCCAGGACGTGTGTTCAGTCCTACGGGGGCAGCCCTATGATGCACGAAATTACAGAGACAAGAAAGCCACTGAGCATGTGCAGAGCTTCATTTCTTTCCCTGCTGAGAAACAGTTGCCAGCCCCAGCCCTGCCAGGCCTGGGCGACTTTCTCCGGCCCCAAGGGAGGCGCTCGGGCGGGTTGTGCTCGGACGTGGCGGTCGGCACGGGGCTGCCCCTTTCCTCCTTTCCAGACGTGAACGAGTGCGACTTCCCGGCCGCCTGCGTGGGAGGCAAGTGCTCCAACACCGTGGGCTCCTACCAGTGCCTTTGCCAGCCGGGCTACCAGTTGGAGGGGGGCCGGAAGTGCCGCGGTGCGTGAGCCCCCCCCCAGCGGGACCGGGACGGGACGGGGGCTCGGGGAGGGGAGGAGAGGGGAGGGAGGGGCCTCGCTTGGCCCTTTGGGGCCCGTCACTGCCGTGGGCGGGCTCGGCCCCACAACCAGCCGCTTGCCCCACTGTGCCGAGCCTGCCCCGGACAGTGTCGGAAGGCGTGTGGGGCTGGACTGGCGGCGGGGAGGGAGGGAGGGAGGGCAGGTGCCGGCTTGGATGCCCACCAGCTCTTCTCTCGCCCCCCACCTGCTTCTGCGCCCCTGCCGGTCTCGGAGCATTCCTTCCGAAATCATAAAAAGAAATCTTTTTCAGACCCTTTTTATTTTCAGGTTTTACAACTTGACCGTTTTAATTGGGGTTTTATTGTTAGTTGAGCTTTTAGGGTGCTCAGCTTTATTTTTCACATTTTGTATTGGTGAACCATCCCGAGACTCCAGTAATGGGGCAGTCTAGAAAAGTTTTAAATGAATCAAATAAAAACCAAACCCCGTTTTCGCTGGCTGGGAGCCTGGCCGGGGGAGCAGCTCTGCTCCGGCCCCGTTTTTTTCTGGGCACGAGAGCCTGGCCCCCTGTCCTGGAGCTGGGGCTTCAGCCGCGCGCTTTGCATTTGGGTCTTCTCTGTAGGCTCCCCTTTTGCCCTCTGGAAAAACGAGGGGGGAAATGCCCAGGCAGCCATTTCATGCCAGGGACCCCCCCCCCACATCCCAGCCGGGCAGCCCTTTCTTGCGAGCGCCCCGAGTGCCCACTGCCCCACAGCTGGGCGGCCCCGTGGGGCCTGGAGGCGCCGTTGCGCCCGAGAGGCCCCTGAACCTTTGCGCCGTCCCCGCAGACATCAACGAGTGTGCGAAAGACCCTGACCTTTGCCAGCCCCACGGGACGTGCGAGAACACGGACGGCTCCTTCGTGTGCTTGTGCAAGGAGGGCTACGGGCCGTCGGAGGACCGGAAGAGCTGTGAGGGTGAGCGTGAATTCCCATGGGGGGCGGGGCGGCAGATCAGGAAGGAGGCTCCGTCTTCGTTGCGGCCCCCCGGCAGCCTTGGCGGTGGGGCTGCGTGGAAGCGTGAGCGGCAGTAATCTTTCCCGAGAGGGCCGGTCCTGGCGGAGCCGGAGCCGGAGCCGGGGCTGGCGTGGCCCGGGCGCAGAGAGTGACCTTTCCGCCCACGCCCAGAGCTGCCGCACAACAAGAAGGAGTGCTACCTGAACTTCGACGACTCCGTCTTCTGCGACAGCATCCTTGCCACCAACGTCACCCACCGGGAGTGCTGCTGCTCGCTCGGCGCCGGCTGGGGCGACCAGTGCGAGATCTACCCGTGCCCCATCCTCAACTCCAGTAAGCCTCTGGGGCCAGACTGGCCCTCGTGCGTGTGCGAGGGGGGGGGAGGCAGGGCGGGGGGCTCCCTCGCCCACCAGGGCGAGCCTCCACGCTGCAGTTGTGGCGTGGGGTCCATTCGGGTGCAAAAAGGACCCGGTTTTCCCTCTGGAGGGAAAGGGCAGGCAGCAGCTGAAGGGACAATCCTCCTTGAGATATTTCGGGGCTGCTGCCGCTGGCCAGAAGAGGCAGGACCCGCTTAGATCAGGAGTGCAGAACCCCAGGACTAGGATCCAAACCGGCCCCCTGTAGTTCACTGAAGGACCACCCCCTTCCCTGGCTGAGCCCCTTTCGCCAATTTTTGCAAGTGTTCCCCATCATCCGCAGCAGCAAAGCCTTTCCTGAGGATCATCACTGGCGATCGGTGCTTTAAGTTACAACACGCTGAGGTTTTTGGTTCCAGCCTCCACCAGAATGTGATCCCCAGGAACGTCTCCAAAATGAATTTTGGTCCTTGGGTTGAAAGCAGCTTAGCACTCGGCCTATGCAGAGAAATAGCCTCAGGTTGTTTGCTGTGAGGGAGGGGAATAGCAAGAGCACACCCGCTGTCCTTGCATGGAAAACGCGCCCTCGAGAAGGCCCCGTGTGGGCCGGATGTTCCACGGAGTCTGCCGCTTGCGCCTTTATCCATAATGCAGCCCCCTGATGCCTGCGTTTCTCTCGCTTTGCCCCCTAGTCGAGTTCCACACTCTCTGCCCGGACGGCAAGGGATTCATTCTGGACGAAACTTTCCTGAACTACGGGGTCCCAGCTCACCGGGGTGAGTCTCTCGGAACTTGTCATGCGGAGAGGGGCAGGCATGGGCATCCTTCGTGCGAACCCAGCCATCGGGGGTTATCCAAGGGTTAAACAACCCTTGCATAACCCTCATCATTCAGCCCTTAAGTATAGCCCTGGATAGCTGGCTTCACACGACCTGGAGGAATGCAATATGCAGTTGCATAGTCAAACTAACTCACGATGTTCTAGGAAAGTTTTTATTGGCCACCGTACGGCTGAGCGAATGGAGTTTTCTTATAACCTCTGGATAACCTGATTTCTGGCTTTGCAGACATAGATGAATGCGCCTTATTTGGGGCAGAGATTTGCAAGGAAGGGAAGTGTGTGAACACGCAACCGGGCTACGAATGCTACTGCAAGCAAGGCTTCTACTACGACGGGAACCTCCTGGAGTGCGTTGGTGAGGACTGCGGGGCGCCCATCAGCTGCAGCCCAACGTATATGGAGGGTACCAGGGCGGAGCAGGCTGGCCTGGGGAGAAGCTTCCTGCAACCAGTCAGATGGGGTCCGTGTAGCGCGGAGCAGACCTCCAGAAGTGTGGTACCTCAACTCCCAGCATTCCTGACGCTGGGGCTTCTGGGAGTCGACATCCAGGACAGCTGGGGATCTTCTCCTGGTCTGTAGGATACGGACTTGCAGCGGCGTTCCAGGTTTTCAGCCAGGGGTGCTTTGCAAGGCATGAATCCCAAACCCTGACTGCATGTGTGCCGTGATTTCATCCCAGCTAGTAAAGACTGAGAAGAAAGATTTCGGAGCTGTGGAGAGAGCCCGGTGGCTTTGTGGCCCAGGGTGCAGCCGCAATGAAAAAGACGAGCTTTTGGGCATCGTTGAGGAGGAAATCAACACTCCAGCTGCTCATCTTGGGCTAATTAACGCACAGTTCGTTCCCAGCGTGTGCAGTCTGACTGGGGCAGTTGGGGCTTGCAGGAAGCCATCATGGCTTAAATGAGGGTTAAACACTCCATGCAGCCTCTGATGGTAAGTGCAGGTTGTTTATCCCTCAAATAATCCATGATGGCCAAGTTGGCACGACACCTGGCGACTCCCCATCATTTTGATTATGTGTGTCTGTATTTATTCAAAGCTTTTCTATCCTGTCCTTTCACTAAAAGTCTCAGGATGATAATACAATAACATTGGCAGTGACACGTTCAAAACATCCACTGTACCTATTTGTGGGCTGATAAACCCGTCGTAATTGCTGCATCGTGCAAAGCGGGTCACTGGCATCCAGTCTCATGAACTCCCAACCTTAAATGCAGAGGAAGAGGACTTTGAATGCAGGGGGAAAGAGAGGAATGTGGGGGAACATGGATGCCTCCGGGCTCTGAGCTCCAGGGCCGTCTCTCTTCTAGATGTGGACGAGTGTCTGGACGAGTCGAACTGTGTGAATGGGCGCTGCGAGAACACCCGGGGCAGCTTCCGCTGCTCCTGTCCGGCTTCCACCATGTACGACCCAGCTCAGAAGAAGTGCGTGGCGCAGGCAAAGATCGGTGAGTCGTCCAGCCCTCTCTCTTCCTGTCGGAGGGGCGTGAGCTCTTGCTCTTGCTCCCTCTTGGACTTTAGACATCCGTTTTTGGGCCAAGGCAATCTTGGGCGCTTCGAGGTGTTTGTGGGAAAGATGCTGGTATTGTTAGGATGTCGGTGCTGTGAGACTGAAGCTGCTTTTGCATCTGGGGATGAGGGAATGTGGGGGAAAACTAACTCGGGAGACGTCTGTGGGTTGCAGTGGAATATATGTGCCAGCAGCAAGAAGAGAAGGGCTGGAAAGTAACTCGTCGCACGGTGGAAGTGGGGCTTGGGGTGGAGATCTGGGAGATGCAGGTTCGAGTCCCCACTCAGCCTTGAAGCTCACACGGTGACCTGTGCAAGGCACCCCCCCCTTTCAGCCTAGCCTACCTCGCAGGGGTGTTGTGAATAGACAAATGGGACCACGTAAGCTGTTCCTGGCTCCCCACTGGTGGAAAAAAGCAGGAAAGACAGTGGGATAACGAGAACGACAACTTCAGCAGAATCGCAGAGCTGGTTCAGTGGGGGCCCCGATCCAGCCCTATGGGGCTCGTTAGCATAGCTGGCAGCTCTCCTTTCTGTAGCTTCTCCCACTGACTGACCTTTTGGTAGTTTCCTGGCTGTGGTGCAGTTTTTGGCCCATTCTTGCTTCTCTTAGCGCATTCGGACCTGTCGGGTATTTTGCCCGCTTTGCCTTCGCCTCTCCCCGTCGCTGGAATGTGGCTCCCGCCAAGTTCCCTGGATGGAATTTGACTGCCTGGCTGCGAAAGGAGTTGAGCTCCCTGGGCGCCAGCGCAGTGGCACGATCTAGGCCCCGTGTTCACTCGGCACGATCTTTTCCGTACTGGTGGGAACCTCTTCCGCCCGCTCAGTGCCACCTGGGCTGCCGTGTGTGTGTGTGTGTGTGTGTGTGTGTGTGTGTGTAGGCCGTGTGGGGCGAACGCCAGCAAAGGGCCCGTGCCTCTGGCCCGCAGATGTGGACGAGTGCCAGGACCCCGGGGTGTGCAGGCTCGGCCGGTGCACGAACACCGTCGGCTCCTTCACCTGCGAGTGCCACCCGCCCCTGACGCTGGGCCCCAGCGGCAAGGAGTGCCAGCTGCCCGAGGCGCAGGCAGGTGAGCCCCGGGCCGGGGGGCCGGGCAGCACCGGGGGGCCCACGCAGGAGGGGGCCCTGGGCGGGGCGCCCCGCCAACTGGGGCGCGTGCGGGGGGCCGGGCGTGGCGAGGGCTGGGCCGTGCGCAGGAACCGACGGGGCCGCCCCCTGCGCTCCTCCGCCCACAGACCGGGTGAGCGACCCGCGCGACGTCTGCTGGCAGCTGCGAGGGGAGGACGGGATGTGTTCGTCTCCGTTCGGCGGCCAGCAGCTCAGCTACGAGGAGTGCTGCTGCCACCACGGCCAGGGCTGGGGGTACCTGTGCGCCGCCTGCCCTCCGCGTGGCCCAGGTAGGCCTGTGGCGGGAACGCTGGGCGGGGGGGGGGGGGAGGGGGGGGGGGGGGGGGGGGGGCAGAGAACATGTGCCGAGTGCCGTTTCTCCCCCAGCAAGCTCCCCCCTGGGGGGGATTTTTGGGGGGGGGTGCTGTGAGGCCCCCATGAGTGCGGGCCAAAACAGATCCATTTTCTACATCTGGGCCCTGTTCTAGAGTAAGCAAAGCAACCGGGATGCAGAGTGCCTCAGGGCATGTGCAGAGTGACTTCATTTACATGCAGGAATCCACTCAGTTGTGGGATATACAGACCCATGCTGAAGATGAGGGCACTGCTGGGCATGTGCAGAGTGCCTTTCACCCCCCCCCCCTTCTGCTCCCAAGCATCTGGCATCAGGGCTTCCAAAAGCACTGCCCTTGTGTATCGTCCGCAGGCCTGAACTGCCAGTCCACCCCCAGCGAGAGCAACTCCTTCTGGGACTTCAGCGCCTTGTTCGGCAAGATGCCCCGAGGTGAGACGGGGGCAGCCGTGGGGCAGCGCAGCGCCGCGTCGGTGGGCGGCTTCGCAGGCGCAGAACATGCGGCACAAGATGCTCCTGCATGTGCCGCCTCTGGGCGGCCTGGAAAGGGGACCGGCCCGTCCATGGAGGCAGCTGGGCCACTTTCACCTTTGCCCCCACCTGCCAGAGGCTCCTGCAGCAAATCCTCCTCAGCCTCATACAGAGCCAGGAGCAGGACCGGGCGATTTCTCAGGGGTTGCGCTTGATAAAACAGTGGCAGCCTTGCCTGCCTTTTCCCAGCAAGGCTTTATGTGTTGCTCCCAAGAGGGGGGGCGTTGCAAAAGAAGGCCGCCTCACTAATGGCCGCTTTCTGGCGTGTGGGAACACTCCCCCCCCCATCTGGATGTACTTCATGCCGCTCCCCAGTTCTCTGAGACTGAGGAGTGGAGTGCTTGGCCCCCAAACTCAGGCTGCCCCCTTCTCGCCACAGAGGCAGACAGCTCCGAGGAGGATTCCGACGAATGCCGCTGCCTGAATGGCCGCTGTGTCCGCACCCAGCAAGGCTCCATCTGCGAGTGCCCTCTGGGCTTCCACCTGGATGCAACCCACACCCGCTGCTTAGGTAAGCCTAAGACTTTTGCCCCAGCATGTCAGGCTGGAGGAGCAGCCATTCCATTTGCAGATGTAACTAATGCACCACTCTGTCTGCAAAGTATCAAAGTGGAGGGCAAAATACAAAGGCCTCAGAGCAAACCTGAATAGTGTAATGCAAATGGATCTGCAACACAGCAATGCTTTCTGTATGTGCTCAGAAGATATGGGTTTACATGAAGCCAGGAACCTCACTAGTGACCTGGGGCTGGCCAGCTTCAGCCTCACCACCCCCACAGGGATAAAAATGGCACTATGTTACCTAAGGTTCCTTGCAGGAAAAAAAGACAGGACACCTTTATAGAGAATTATATATGTAAAATTATTAGTGTGTTGTGTATAGAGAATAGTAAAGTGACTGCCCTCACAGGGTTGCTGTGAGGATAACTGGATGACAATGAGGCTTGAAAGGTAGTCTTTATGGTCAGGCTTTTCCTGAAGTCTTCAATCTGGTCCAGCGGTCGCTCAGTCTTCAGCCTTGCTGCCAGTTGTCATTCAAGGTGCAGCCCTTCCTTCTTCCAGAAGCCGGTCCAGCAGCCCCCTCTCTTCTTGCACTTCTGTCTCGGCTCCAGTGATCTCAGCTTAGCTTCCCCATCTTGTGGCTCATTCGTCCAGCTCCTCCAGGGGTCCTTCTGAAGTCTTCTGTCTGGTCTGGCAGTTGCTCAGGCTGCAGCCCTTGCTGCTGGCTGGCGTTCAAGTGCCAGCCTCTTCTCCTGGGAGCTGCTGCAGGAGCCTTTCTCTTGCCGGTCCGGCTCAGCATCCCCGTCTCGTGGCCGCTCGTCCTCCCTGGGCTCCGGGCTCCTCAGCCCCTCACTTGCTCCTGCGGCTCTCCAGTCCGACTCCCTCGGCCAGCCTCGCCGCAGCTCCTTATATACCCGCAGCCCGAGCCCTCCGGCCAATCAGCCTTGAGGAGCCCGCGTTCTGTCCCTGTCGCTGTGCCAGCTCCCGACCAATGGGCGCCCTGCGAATGCTCGGCTCTGGGCCAATCGGGCGGGCCCGCTTCAGCCCCGCCTCCCTCCTGGCTGCCTGCCAGCCAGAGCTGCCCCTGTGCTCGGCTCCCCTCGGGCACCGGCGGTTCCGCTCCCTGTTGCCTCGCCGAGACCTCCTGTGGTGCAAACGGCAAGACTGCGAGACTCGCCCCTCCGTCTCTTCCCGGCGACGTGAGAAGCCTCGCCTTCCCCACCCCCAGCTTTGCCCTGCTTTTGTCGCTGCTGTTTCAACTCGCTGCATCATTACATTGTGGTCAAAATAGGACAAAACTGTTGTCACTGTATGTTTTGTATCCCCAGGCTGTTCAGTTAATTAGATTTCTGTCCTGTCTTTCTTCTTACAACGCACTCAAACCACTTCCTTTGTTAGTCTCCTGCTGCTCTCGATCTTATCCCCACAACAACAACCCTGTTGTTGTGAGGGAGGCCGGGCTGAGAGTGTGTGACTGCCCCAAAGTCACCCAGCGGGCTCCATGGCTGAGCAGGGTCTAGGCCCCCATCCCTGCTCTTCCCCACTGCCCCAACCAAGGGCCCATTTCTCTGTCTAAACTTGCGCAAGAATTGCAGGTCCAAAGTCAGCCAGGATTCTGTTGCCTGAGATCAACTGGCCGGCCTGGGAGCCGTGGGCTGTTTTCTGCCTAGGCCTGCATGGGGTGGGCCCTGAAACAGCCCCAGTGAGCCTGCCGAACGGCGGGGGGCGGGAGGCACGGCTGTGCGTAGCGTGGCTGCGTGGGGGGCGCTTGCTGGCGCTCGGCTGCAACCCACATCCGCCCTCCCGCCTCCCGGCCTCTCTTGCAGACATCGACGAATGCCGGGAGCTGAACCAGCGAGGCCTGCTGTGCAAGACGGAGCGCTGCGTGAACACCAGCGGCTCGTACCGCTGCACGTGCAAGTCGGGGTACGTGCGCTCCCGGCCTCACGGGATCTGCATTCCCCAGCGTCAGCAGTAGGCCGGCCGGGCACGGATGCAGGGGGGCAGGTGGCCGCGGACCGATTCCCTTCCCCCTGCGCTGGCCCCGGCGAGCCCCCCGGGGTGATCGCTGTTGGCAACTGGATTCTAAGAGGAACTTCCAGCAAAGCAGTTCTTACGTTCTTTAAGGACTTCTTAATATGTTTTTGTACCAGCTATGATGAAGGGGCATTGATACTTGTTATAGGTTCCCTACCAATCCTTGTTTATTGCTCCCTAACGCACCAGATGTTTATCGTTAGGGTTAAAAAAAAACAACCCTGCATTTGGTTTGCACTTGTTTCTGTAGGGTTCAGAAATAAAACTCATTTTTGTACATAATAGATGCTGGTGAAAACTCCAAAGTGAATCAGCTAATTAAAAAAGAAGGAAAATCTGTGTTTGGTGCTTGATTCTGGCAAATGCCCCTCACAGCAACCGGATGAGGTGGGATAGGCTCAAAGTCTGACTGACCCAGAGTGAGTGAGGACTAGAATCTGGATTTCCTAGATCCCCGGCCAGCACTTGACCCACAATGCTAAACTGGCTAATATGGGGGGAATCTTAAATTGTCTTGCAGATACATTCCCAGGGAACTGGGTGGACAGCGCATGCATCCCAGAGCTCAGACTTGCCACCATCTCTGCATGTGAATGAACTAAACAGTTGTTAGAACAAGGAGGGGTTTGTGGCACCTTGAAACACAGCTGGGAGCTTTAGGATTTTCCCCCTGTCTAAACATGCATACGATCTCATTCTTATTCTGGCATAATTGGATGCATTGAAGGATTAACCGTATATTGGAAGATCTGCCTAGACAAAGGCGGGGGATATATAAACTGTTGTCCAAGGGAACTGAAATGCCGAAAACAGGCGGTCCTTTCAATTCAGCCTCTCATCACACTTGGCAATGTTAAGGTGGCCAGTTTCCGCACAAAGAAATTTCAAAGATAGATACTGGTGGGGAATCTCTGAAGTATTCAGCTCTATTCAGTGTGATTCGTAGAAGGACAAAGACTGGTTTTTTTTAAAAATCACACTAGGTAATTAGCTTATTAATGGATTTGCTATTGCAATGAAGCCTTGCTGCTCACTTCTGGGATTGGGAACTATTAAAAAGATTGTTGTCATTACTTTGGGGGCATTTCAGTTCAGTTTGATAAGAAATACGGTCTTTCTCCCACCCACCCACAGCAGGTCTATACAGATTTGCCAGTTTGAGACTAATGCAGAAATTATATCCTCAAGTTGTACGGGTGTTTACTGGAGACCAAGGTCAAAATTATCCACAAGGTGGTACTCCTGATCACTAAGGAAAGTGGACAGGAAGAGATGTGTTAGAAACATGCAGTGGAAGAGAGCTTTGGGAATTCCCTGGATTGACAGAAAGACCGACAAGAGGGTCCCGGATCAAATCAAGCCAGAGCTTTTCCAAGAAGCAGAAATTAGACAACTGAGGCTACCTTGCTTTGGGCGCATCCTGAGAAGGCAACACTCCCCGGAGGAGACAGCCATGCTGGGGAAAGCTGAAAGCAGAAGAGCAAAGGGAGACCAAAGGAGAGATGGGTGTTCTTCTTCCTGGAAGCCGCAGGCCTGAATTTACAAAAGCTGAGCAGCGCTAAAATGAATAGGACATTTTGGGGGTCTTTCATACACCTGAGACGACTTGACAGCATATCACAACAAAACTTTTGGGAGTGTGACTCATTTTTAAGTGAGGGCTATCTTTTATACAACATGGATTGTGTAGGTTTACAGAGAGAACAAACTCTGACCAAATGGCAGAATTGAAAAACATCTTTCAGGGGAAAGAAATAACTATTCCTCACAGGAAAAATATGTAGCAGACAATACCGTTGTCCGGCTTTGCAATGTTAATGAACACCTGCAGAGGGTCAACAATTCAGTGTCACTTTCTGCTGAAATCAGCTAAAGGGTCATTGTGGGTATAAACACAATTTAACATAGCAATGGCAGGCTAATTATGGCCCCTTAAGTTTTATCATGGCTTATTTTGCATACATATAAGTCCATTTCTCTCATTCTTTCTAGCATTCCTAGGGGTCTGACCACAAGTTTTACCTTGTTTCTCTCTTTTCCCTGTAGCAAGTATGCTAGTTTTTGAGTTTTTTTTAAATTAAGGGCTGGCCAGATATCCCACGCTGCAGGACTCTGCTGGTCTTGCCCAATTTTGGTTTAAGAAACCACAAGAACTGTTGCTTGGCATCTCTTCACAGCACCTGAATGGATTGGTGCACAGGTCAGTTGGCCAGTTTTCCCAATGTGATGAGATGGACTGTGCAGCTATTGAAATAAAAGCAATTATTTCGGCTTTGTATGTGAATAATAGACATATGAATAAGCATGAGCAGATTTATGCACAATTGTGCCTTTCCTCGTTCTTTTTCAAATGGTGATGATTGCCTGCTGCTTGAGGCTTTGGGAGATTTGCTTTTACTAGCCAAATGGGAGATAACACTGACTGCAGAGTCGTAAACCAAGCACAAAGTTTTCCTTCCAGAAGCCTCATGCTTCCAGCCTCAGCTCTCCCGCTTAAGCGTGATCTACTTTGCAGGGCTGTTGTGTAAAAGCAGGATCAAGCAGCTGAACAGCTCTTCTTAGAAAGCCTTTTGCTTCAGCTGCAGCAGTGAGCGCCTGCCAGTGCTCAGGAACAGTGGAAGAGTCGAAAATGGAGTATACGTACAAGCCATAACCTTTTGGACAGGCGAGGCTGGTCAGCGGGGTCCTGTATCCATCACGACTTTTATGATGAACTTGTAGGTCTCCCGATAGGTTCATCAGCCTGGAGCTCCATGGATCGTTCCTATAACGCTCAGCACAAACGCTGCAAGGGATAAGGAGCCCTCTCACATAGAGGAGAGCCCCTTGCCCTGCTTAGATGCACATCTATATGGGGAGCCGGGAAGGAATTAAAAGGCTGCAGTGCTGGCAGAATTTATACGTTACATCTTTGTAAGAGACGGCCAAGCAAAGAGCAGTTGCACGCAGGAAACTCCCGACCTGAAAATTTGAATTTTTCGATTGCAAACGGCGCAGCGGCAAAAGACTACAAGTCCCAGCATGCCCAGGGATGTTACGCAACCTATGCCTCCCAGGATGCACTGCGGTTTTCCAAGACTGCGGTTTTTTCCTCTAACGACAAGAAAAAAACATAGAGATAGGAAGTTTAGAATGCCTCCAATGTATGGTAATCAAACTTTTGGTGCCTATAGGTGGCTACCCTTTTTTTAAAACTGCGGATGGGACGTGAGTTGTCTATTAAAAATACAACAAGGGGAAATGCCAGGATTTACCATAGCAGTGTTTCGGCAGTCCCCGCGCACAAAAAGAGTTTAAGACTCCAAGTGGTTAGGGTGTTGGACTAGGAGATCCGGGTTCTCCTTCCCATTCAGCCGTGAAACTCACTGGATGAATCTAGGCCAGCCCACTGAACCTCAGCCAAACCTACCTCACAGGGCTGTTGTGAGGATAAAATGAAGACGCAGCTCAGGCAAGCCGGCCTGTGCTGCGTACAAAGGAGCCACAAAAACACACGTTTCAGACCGTTTGGCAGACGCTCACTTCTGCATATCACAGTTTTCTTTTTTGCCTAAGCGCGGCGCCTGCTTTCTGCGCCGCAGCGTCCGGGAGCTGCGAGGACCGCCACTTGCGACTCTACCCGGTATACGTCTATGGGCAGGCCGCGCCTGGGACAGCCTCTCCTTCCCAGCAGCCCCCGCGGCGCCGGGACTCCAAGTCCCACGCTGCCTCGCGCGCGGGGCAGGGCTGCCAGCCTCGCTGCTCCGCATTCGAATCGGCGCCGGAGAGGTGAGTCCGAGGGGGTGTGTCGGGGGCGCGCGCCTCGGGGCCCCCC